ATTATTGATATGTTTATACACTGTTCATTACTGGTTAGATCTACTAATGCTTGGAGACGGCTTGAATGGGTAATGAAGAAAAACTTTAATATAAGTTTAACATAACAGCAAATGTACAACGTATCGACAAGATTAGGTCTACATATAGCAGTAATTAGTGAAACTAACTGTGACATCGATAGTATTTATAGAATACATTGGAATACATCTCTGCTCATGAAAAAGCGCAATAGAACAATAATTCAAAAGTACATTAACAAGATTCTTTACTAGGCCTAACCATAATAATCTCTACTCATGAAAAAACACAACAGAACAATAATTCAAAAGTACTGTGATATTAATGATATTTATAAAATACATGGGAGACTCCAGTAGTAATAAGTGGTACTAACTGTGATATTAATGGTATTTATAGAATACACGGGAGACCCCAGTAGTAATTAGTGGTACTAACTGTGATGTTAATGGTATTTACAAAATACATGGGAGACCCAAATAGTAACAAGTGGTACTAACTGTGATATTAATGGTATTTATAAAATACATGGGAGACACAAATAGTAACAAGTGGTACTAACTGTGATAGTAATGGTATTTATAGAATACATGGGAGACCCCAGTAGTAATAAGTGGTACTAACTGTGATATTAATGGTATTTATAGAATACATGGGAGACCCTAGTAGTAATTAGTGGTACTAACTGTGATATTAATGGTATTTATAGAATACATGGGAGACCCCAGTAGTAATTAGTGGTACTAACTGTGATGTTAATGGTATTTATAGAATACATGGGAGACCCCAGTAGTAATTAGTGGTACTAACTGTGATGTTAATGGTATTTATAGAATACATGGGAGACCCCAATAGTAATAAGTGGTACTAACTGTGATATTAATGGTATTTATAGAATTCATGGGAGACCCCAGTAGTAATTAGTGGTACTAACTGTGATCTTAATGGTATTTTTATTTAATTTTCCTTAACTCATGTGATTATAAATTTTTGGACTCTATAATCAACAGCCGTGGACTTACAAACATACATAGTTCGGGAAGACGTATTAGACTTACAAACATACATAGTTCGGGAAGACGTATTTAAAACAACATGAGATAATATATTTGAAACACCAGTAATTCTAAAATTAAACAAGAAAATTATTCAGACTTTAAAAACTACTTTCAGTTTATCTCCACCCAAAACTAAGTATAGTTTACTGAAATTCCCCAACTTAGTTTGTTATTTCGTAATTGAAATTAGGGGCGTGTGCAGTTGATTGGTTAGTTGTCAGGGCTGTGAATTCGAAGATTCATGGCTCAGCACTCTTATACCATAGTTGTGCCATAAGAATAACAGTCAAATCTCACTATTCGAGGCCCGGCATGTCCAGGTGGTTAGGGCACTTGACTCGCAATCTGATTGTCTGTGTTCGAATTCCACTTCTCCCCTCCCCTAAACATGCTCACCCTTTCAGATGTGGGGGCGTTATAATGTGACGATCAATCCCACTATTCGTTGGTAAAAGAGTAGTCCAAGAGTTTGTAGTGGGTGGTGATGACTAGCTGCCTCTTCTCTAGTCTTTCACTGCTAAATCAGGGATGGCTAGCCCAGATAGTCCTCATGTAGCTTTGCGCAAAATTCAAACCAAATCACTATTCGATCAGACAAGAGCTGACATTGGCTGCTATTAACTAGCTGCCTTTTCTTTGGTCTATCAGTTCAAAATTACGGACGGCTATGCGCAGGTAGTCCTTTTCTTTTTCTTCTTTCTTTTTTTTTTTTTTTTTTTTTGCAGTTCGTTTGGTAACAACTAACTTAACTAAAACTAAATAACTACTACTACTTACTTTCGTTTGGTTTTACGTTTTACTTACTT